AAGAGATGTAACAAAGAGATGTAGCAAAGAGATGTAACAAAGAGATGTAACAAAGAGATGTAACAAAGAGATGTAACAAAGAGATGTAACAAAGAGATGTAACAAAGAGAGAGATGTAACAAAGAGAGAGATGTAACAAAGAGATGTAACAAAGAGATGTAACAAAGAGATGTAACAAAGAGAGAGATGTAACAAAGAGAGAGATGTAACAAAGAGAGAGATGTAACAAAGAGAGAGATGTAACAAAGAGATGTAACAAAGAGATGTAACAAAGAGATGTAACAAAGAGATGTAACAAAGAGATGTCACAAAGAGATGTAACAAAGAGATGTAACAAAGAGATGTAACAAAGAGATGTAACAAAGAGATGTAACAAAGAGATGTAACAAAGAGATGTAACAAAGAGAGAGATGTAACAAATGGAGAGATGTAACAAAGAGATGTAACAAAGAGATGTAACAAAGAGAGAGATGTAACAAAGAGAGAGATGTAAAAAAAGAGAGAGATGTAACAAAGAGATGTAACAAAGAGATGTAACAAAGAGAGAGATGTAACAAAGAGAGAGATGTAACAAAGAGAGAGATGTAACAAAGAGAGAGATGTAACAAAGAGAGAGATGTAACAAAGAGAGAGATGTAACAAAGAGAGAGATGTAACAAAGAGATGTAACAAAGAGATGTAACAAAGAGATGTAACAAAGAGATGTAACAGAGAGATGTAACAGAGAGATGTAACAGAGAGATGTAACAGAGAGATGTAACAGAGAGATGTAACAGAGAGATGTAACAGAGAGATGTAACAGAGAGATGTAACAGAGAGATGTAACAGAGAGATGTAACAGAGAGATGTAACAGAGAGATGTAACAGAGAGATGTAACAGAGAGATGTAACAGAGAGATGTAACAGAGAGATGTAACAGAGAGATGTAACAAAGAGATGTAACAAAGAGATGTAACATAGAGATGTAACATAGAGATGTAACAGAGAGATGTAACAGAGAGATGTAACAGAGAGATGTAACAGAGAGATGTAACAAAGAGATGGTGGTGTAACAGAGAGATGTTACAAAGAGATGGTGATGTAACAGAGAGATGTACCAGAGAGATGTACCAGAGAGATGTACCAGAGAGATGTACCAGAGAGATGTACCAGAGAGATGTACCAGAGAGATGTACCAGAGAGATGTACCAGAGAGATGTACCAGAGAGATGTAGCAGAGAGATGTAGCAGAGAGATTTAGCAGAGAGATGTAGCAGAGAGATGTAGCAGAGAGATGTAGCAGAGAGATGTAGCAGAGAGATGTAGCAGAGAGATGTAGCAGAGAGATGTAGCAGAGAGATGTAACAGAGAGATGTAACAGAGAGATGTAACAGAGAGATGTAACAGAGAGATGTAACAGAGAGATGTAACAGAGAGATGTAACAGAGAGATGTAACAGAGAGATGTAACAGAGAGATGTAACAGAGAGATGTAACAGAGAGATGTAACAGAGAGATGTAACAGAGAGATGTAACAGAGAGATGTAACAGAGAGATGTAACAGAGAGATGTAACAGAGAGATGTAACAGAGTGATGTAACAGAGTGATGTAACAGAGTGATGTAACAGAGTGATGTAACAGAGTGATGTAACAGAGTGATGTAACAGAGTGATGTAACAGAGTGATGTAACAGAGTGATGTAACAGAGTGATGTAACAGAGTGATGTAACAGAGTGATGTAACAGAGTGATGTAACAGAGTGATGTAACAGAGTGATATCCAATCATAAGTGTGCAAATTTCGAATGATCATTATGACAGCTTAGACTATGTATTTGAATTTCTCCAACATAGTGTGTTCTATTTCCTCAAAATGGTCCAAAATGGGATATGCTACTTTACTGATATGGCCCGGCTAGCTCAGTCGGTAGAGCATGAGACTCTTAATCTCAGGGTCGTGGGTTCGAGCCCCACGTTGGGCGATTTAATATTTTTTGTATTATAAATACATAAACTACTTTTACAATAATGAATTATGAAACCAGGCGTCCTTAGTATTTATCAAACAAAAAAAGTTGGGACGATCATATCCTAAGAACATTATAAAAGAAACATTTACGGACAGAAGTTCATTTAAAAATTATAATTAAATTTAAAAAAAAAAGGTGAATTGCCATGCAAGCCACAACTGCCACAAGGCCTCTTCTAATCGCCCTAAATGCCACAAGGCCTCCACTTATCGCCAATAACTGCCACAAGGCCTCCACTGATCACCCTAACTGCCACAAAGCCTCCACTAATCACCCTAACTGCCACAAGGCCTCCACTAATCACCCTAACTGCCACAAGGCCTCCACTTATCGCCAATAACTGCCACAAGGTCACCACTAATCTCCATAAGTACATTTAATTAATTTTAAGTTCGTTTATTTATAATTCAACAAAGTTTTGTTATATGACATCTTGTGTGTGTCGACCGAAGACAACCTATGTGTCTATGAAGTAGACAACGCACGTGTCTGTGATGTACACAACACACATGTCTATGATGTAGACAACACACGTGTCTGTGCTGTAGACAACCAACGTGTCAGTAATGTAGACAACCCAAAGGTCTATGATGTAGACAACACACATGTCTATGATGTAGACAACCTATGTGCCTGTGCTGTAGACATCCCACATCTCTGTGATGTAGACAACCCACGTGTCAATAATATAGACAACCCAAGTGTCTGTGATGTAGACAACCCAAGTGTCTGTGATGTAGACAACCCAAGTGTCAATTAATGTATTCAACCCAAGTGTCTATGATGTAGAGAACCTAACGTGTCTATGATGTAGTTGTGAAATTGCGTGCTTAATGAAAACTGTTAACTCACGGAACAGCTGGGGATGTCACGTGGGAAATGAAGATGTAAATAATGGACAAGTAATTAGCAGCGACTAATTAGTGTGGACGAGATGAGGTGTGGGGCCAACAACACCAACGTTGTTGCTGAGGTGTGTGGTGGGATGTGTGGCAAACAACACCAACATAGTTGCTGAGGTGTGTGGTGGGGTATTGGGCCACATAGTTGCAAAGATGTGTGGTTGTGTGTGGGGCCAACATAGTTGCTGAGGTGTGTGGTGGGGTGTGTGGCAAAGAACAACATAGTAGTTGCTGAGGTGTGTGGTGGGGTATTGGGCCACATAGTTGCAAAGATGTGTGGTTGTGTGTGGAGCCAAAATAGTTGCTGAGGTGTGTGGTGGGGTGTGTGGCAAAAAACGTTAACACTGTTGCTGTGTTGGTACAGTAGGGCGTGGTGGTGAGTTAATCACACATGCAAGTAAGGTTTTGTTGCAAGTAATCTAAAATGGCGAGCAAGTGTACCAAGCGTGATAATGTGTGGGGGGGGGGGGGGTGTATGTTGGGT